CTATTAACATTCATTTAAGACACAAATAACTGTGTTTACGAGGATACTCGCAAAGACGGGCATTTTGACACGTAACTGTGTATTTGACCATTTAAGCACAAGGAGCGAAAGTTTAGTAAGTAATACGAGCAGGTGTATCAGGCAGAAACCGTTTTAACGCATGCATTTACCAGAATGAATTCTGCCCCACAGCGTAATGTCCATGAACAGTATAAACCATTTGTTTTAAAACCTGCTTAAAACGCCTTGAAATGATAAGCTTAGAATAGAATAAATGCATTTGATTGGTAAACCAAATTCAGACTTTACGTTTCAATCACAAATGGTAATGCATGGGATTTACGGAAAAGCTCAACTAAATAACAGCGCTAATAAGTGGGGGGCGTGGTGGCTTTGGCGATCAGCGCTCCAGTCAATCTACTCCACAGCCAATCACGGGCCCCCGTCCTTGCTCGGGCCCCGGGTCTTCAGCCCCGCCTAGCCCAATGGTTAAAACGGCCCTGTGTATCAGTTTAAATTAGGCACCACAGCTGTTTTTTAAGAAATATTTCTTAAGCACCAATCAGCATATTAGAATGATTTCTGAAGGATCATGTGACACTGAAGACTGGAGTAATGGCTGCTGAAAATTCAGCTTTGCCATCACAGGAATAAATTACATTTAAAAAAATGTTATTATAGACATTTTATTGTAATAAAAATGACACAATATTACTGTTTTTACTGTATTTGTTTATTAAATAAATGCATCCTTGGTGACCAATAAGAGAATACCGACCCCAGAAAGTAAGAAAGTGATATACATTTCTGACTTTCAGCAGTGTTAGGCATATGTAAATATCGACCAACTATGGAAAGCGATGAAATATGTTAAGACAGCCATTATTGTCAAAACAACCTCAACTCCTGATAATCTTCTAGTGCCTTTTGAGGTGTCTATCGAGATCAAGGTTATAAAGACTCCTGAAGCTATTTTGTGCTCTATCTCACAGTATACACAGAATGAAACAATCCTAATTTCTTACTTGCAAAATAGAATGGCATGCTAATTGGAGCTACCATTGAATCATGACTCATGAGTCATGTTGAGCAATGCTAATGCTGCACCCAGTAGAAAATTGAGGAGTGTTACTCATAGACCCACTGACCCACCAGCACAACCCTTGCCAATCCTGGATCACAAACTAACGCACGTGCACAAACGCACACACACACTTCCATTCATGGGGGGCCCTGGCCATCAGTCATTATAACAATAACTGGGAACAAAGCAGCAATAGATTATTCACTCATGCATGAGGATAGCTCTCTAATATTTGTGCTATTTAAAATTATATTCACACATGTGCAATAAATAAATAAATAATAAGGTTAATAAACAGTGAAACTTTTAAATGCAGGTGTAATAATAGTGAATTTCCTCTACAATACATAGATGAGCTTAAAAAGAACTGACCTCAGTTCAGTCCAATGAGTCTCAGATGAGCTTATGAGCACTTATTATCTGAGAATAAGTTTAGTGAGTCTCTTAGGATCTTATATTCCCAGTGTTTAATGTCGCACCCTGAGCAGGCACTATATTAGTGAGGGAGGAAGATTTATTATACTAAATCACACACACACAGACACACACACACACACACACACACACACACACACACACACACACAACAAGCAGTCTACAACCTTGCCACACACATGCTAGTAATTAGTGATCACGATTTCTGAAAACCTGAAAGGTCAAGGGTTACTGTAAAATGGATCCCACAATAGGCAGATTTTGTGCCATCTGACATTCGGGGTCACCCCTTCCTTCTGGACTGCTGAGGTCAAAGGTCAAATTACACAATAAGTACAATGGAAGAAGAGACAAGTGTCTTCATATACTCTGATTCAAAAGGAACTAACAATTAGGCTTAAATCATTTTTTAGAAGTAGATTTGTTGAGTTCTGATTAATTAGTTGAGTTAAGATTCTTTTTCAGCTTTGATATTTTTTATTAATTTAGGAAAGCCACTTGAATGTTAATTAATGAATTCAAGTAATTAAATAAAATGTGTTTTGTTACATAAAACGCACACATACATAATGTTGATTTTTTTTTCTCCCATACCATGGAAGTTAATTGTTACCGCCAACTGCTTGGTTACCAACATTCTTCAAAATATCTTCTTTTCTGTACAACAGAGGAAAGAAACTCAGATCTGAAGTACAGGGTCAGTAAATGATGACAGAATTGTCAGAATGATAAGATATTATGACCAGTTTTGTTCAAGTTCAGAAGGAGCTGATGGACACAAACAGCTTTCCTCTGCGCAAACATTCCCTCAGACAAACCTTATACCTATACTTTAAAAAGTACAATAATGCACTGTAAAAAAATAAATAAAATAAAAAAATAAAAATATTTAACAGATTAATATTCTTGCAGAAAATTAGTTTTAATTAATATCCTGGCAGAAAAATGACTTTCTGATTTTTTTTAAAACAGTGTACATTTTCAATCTGACATCATCATCACAGTAATTGCTAAAAAGTAAGGGATTGGGAGAGAGTGCTGTACACTGCTGGAGCGACTCGCTAGTGACTCTCTGCTCTGCATAACACGCGCATGCCAAACAGGTGTTGTGCCGAATTCTGCACCCCTACAAGATTATGCGCCCCCTCGTTGAAGTCGCTACCTGATTGCCTAATCCCAACCCCACCCCTAATCCTAACCCCTCCCCCACACCTTCTCCTAAATCTACCAATACTAGGGGATCCATAATCTGGCAGGGTGCAAATTCCGGTGTTGTGCCCATTTTCGACCCCTGCCAAATTATTACCCCTCTTGTTGAAATCGCTACCCGATTGCCTAATCCTAACCCCACCCCTAATCCTAACCCCTCCCCCACACCTAACCCTAAACCTACCAATACTAGGGGGTAGTAATCAGGCGGGGGTCAGAATTGGGCACAACACCGCACGCAGATGCTGATGCTGAGAAAAGACCGCATCTTCACTAGAGCTATAAAACCCGCGCTTCCCTTCTTTTTAATTGTTGAGGGACGTCGATTTCGCATTATAGCGCATGCAAGGTATACTGCTCAAACATTAAGAAAAAATACGACTCTTCTCGTCTGGGAGAGGGAGGGGCTAGACCTGTAAGGGCGGGAGGCGATCCAGTCTAAACTAGTTCTGTACAATACGCCTGGAATGCGACCTTATTCAAATCGAGGCGATTTCTTTAGGACATCAGTTACTCTGTCTGGAGTACACCCAAGGCGTTTAAAACTAGACACTGACATAATCTGGACATGTGGCATGTAAGCAGGAGTAATTATGTTTATTCTTGAGATAGAAATGTAAAAAAAAAAACGGATAAAAGATAAATCAAGCACTTCATGTGGGAATCCAAAGAAAGGGTTTCCTATCTCACATCTAGTAGGTATTACCCTAACAATTCTTGTAAAAACGGAGGATCTTGATTTCAGTATCTGATTCAATGTATCATAAACGTGTTATACATGAAACAAGACTACTTTCGTGATAAAAAAAAAGAATAATTGTATACTTTTCCAAAAAATTCAATAACAAATATTAAATAAATAAAAAGTCTCACATAGCTATATTAGTGGCCACCTAAACATCTAATAATTGTCTCTCTCGTGCGCATGCACCTTTGAGAAATACAAAAGGAAGAAACAGTAGGTTTGGACATTTGACAGACAACACATACTTTATCATGTTTTCTGTGCACTACACATTACGGTATTCCGTACATAAGCGCTAAACATCCACGACTGCTCATATTCATAAGCGACTTGACGACAAATATGTCAAAAGTCGCTTAGAATTAGCGCACATGGCCATTGGGATCTGGGGTCTCAGGAAGAAAGGGGTGTGCGCTGGACGAACTTAAACCGAAGCGTAACATTGCAGTGCAGTAAAAGTGTCACTCACACACGCGTAAAACACGCAGTCCTGCGCACGCTGGTAAGATATGAAGCCCGTCAATATTTGCACACGCACTGTAAAATGTGCAGCCAGGCCGGGTGTCGTGGATGCACGCAGACTGATGTTGCGCAGCATCGTCGTGACGTTGCTGATACTGCAATCGCACGCGGGGTTCATGGCGACACCTTGCGCATCATACGAAGCCGTGGGTTCGCCCTCCTCCCAAAACACAAGCGTGTGAGGAATTTCGCCGGTTTACTGACTGGGGCAAAAATAATTTGTTTCAAAAAGACACGTTACGGTGTGTCTTTTGTGCTTTCGCCTCCCACTGCCGTCATGTGGCACGGCGCCGCATCCAATCAGGGAGATGGGGAGAACACCCACACCCCAGAATCTGAATGCGGCTTTGGCGCATTATAAATACCGCTTGTGATGCACCGGCAAGCCTCGGTCGCGAGGAAGCTCAGGGTTGCAGTAGTACATCAGTCTTTTTTCTTTCCATAACAAAGAAGATCATCATCCATCTTTTGTTTTTTTCTCTCTCCCCAATTTCAGTTCATTTCTGGCCAGTTGCATGCATTGTTCGTCTCCCAAAATGGTTTGCGAGACTAAAATCGTTGCAGACGAACACGAGGCCATAGCTGGGACCAAAAAAGATTCAATTATAGTTTCCTCCGCGCAAATGTGGACGTCTTCTTCGCCTTCTCCCAGTGCGCTCGAGAGTAAGGTGGAAAAACGGGACCAGGTTTTTATTCGCGAGTTTGAACGTTCAGACCATAAAGAGGTGCGCCGGATCTTCACCGAGGGAATCATGGAGCGGATACCCAATTCGGCATTTCGGGGGCTAAAACAGCAAATTAGAACCCAATTTATCTATGCTTTTCTCACAGGTATGTGGTCAAACTGTGGGTATACGATGAGCGTAACGGGTTTCTCTGCAACATGTGAAAATAAGCTCTGAGCTGTTTGAGTTCATATGTAAGTTAATTATGTTACAATGAAAGGATCGAACTAAAACGACGAGCCCAATCAATTCAGACATTTTATGCTCAAAACTGTTTTGTTTTCAGAGCACGTAATCTTGAAATCTTTTTTATTTCCCCCCCGTAAAAAATCCCAGTGAATATCAGTAAAGGAGTCAAAGGCAGCAGCAGCAGCAGCAGCAGATCAGAGCGTGCGGGACCGGTGAATGAATGAATGAATGAATCCCGCGCAAGAGCACTGCGTTCCCCACATACGCCTCCTGTTAGTGCACGAAGTTGTGTTTGTTGCCTGTTGAGATATATATGACGTTTTACTTACAGGGAATTAATAACATGTAATGATTTATTTCCTTTTCATGTTTACTAATCATTTTCAGTGGTTTTCAACTACAGGCGGTGTAACCGAGCACAGTGGCGATCTGGCTAGACAGCAACCTTTTTGTGCGCTACATTGAAAATGTACTTATGCCACACAGTTGAAAAGAATGAGGTGTTTTAACAGTGTCCATAAACTTGCATACTACACGATTAGAGTACGCTGCATCACTGTACACATAGTGCGACAATTGTTTCTCAGATAAATTACTCATACAGGCTAATTTTTGAGTAGCGAAGACCTTGTGAGCGCATTTTATAGTATGTTGGAGTTGAAAGCGCCTCTGTTGACAGTAAACAGTGCGCATCGTGTTGCAGTGGTGTGTGGATAATGCATGTCGTGAAACATGCACAGTGGCGCAGCGAGACAGTTGTACTCAAGCGCGCCTTCTTGTGTCAACAACCTCGACATACGCATACTCAGATTTCCTTGGGTTTAATTACAGCCGTTATAGTGCCCTCCATTGCCCATTAAATTTCCAGGCCGTACAAATGTATAAAGTTATTGCCTTTTTCTTTTTAAACAGGATACACTGTGTAATTACTTTGCATTGCATCTCACTGCTCAGGGTGTGTCTGCACACTCCTAGTGTGTGCACATTTGATGTCTGTTTGTCTCTCCTCTGCCAAAAATCAAACATTTGATTCTCTTTTCTGACAGGTGTCGTTTATTTTTCTTCCATTTCTCCATAGTAATGTGCTATGTTATGACCAAATCCCTCACACTGACCTTCTGCACACCGTTTATTCTAATGGGTGCACGTTATTACTACAGCAGAAAAGTCGTTCTCAACTACCTGGACTGTGCTCTGCATACTGATATGGCTGACATCGAGTCATATTACATGAAACCAACAGGTAAGGCGTAATTTCAAGCACACACACACATTCACACAAAATTACCCTCACAACTAGGTTTTCAACATGTTTTACTACATTTGTGAGGACATTGTAAGAAAATATGGCCCTCATAAGTATAGCCAAACCTGGACACACATATGACCTACTGTTCAAAAGTTTGGGTCTGTAAGATTTTTTTTTTAAACAATTTTTGAGCATTTATGATAAAAAATACAGTCCAAAATAAATAAATAAATAAATAAATTTAAGGTTCCTTCAGAAATCATTCTAATATGTGATTCTTTGATGAATAGAAAGTTCAAAAGAACAGACTTTTTTATAAAATAGATTGTTTTTTGTGACAATATAAAAGTCTTTACTGTCACTTTTAATCAATCTAATAAAAATATATATATTTCTTTAAAAAATGTTACTGGCAAACTTTTGAATGGTACTGTATGCACTTAATGTTTGGAGATTCTGTGGCGTGTAAGCAGTTCATTGTATTGGTGAAGTCACCGACGTCTATTATATAAAAAAATCACTATATATTAATATATAATGTATGATGTATAAACAGGTCTATGCCAAATAGCACCTGGGCACTTGATAGTGAGTATATTTATGCTAATCACTACAAACTACACATTTCATTACTGAAATATTAACAATATTTTACTTCAAAAGAGAAAAAAAATAGTTCAATGTATAGACATCCCACAATGCACCAGCTTCCCCAATCAAACATTTATCTCACCAGAACAATACTCTCAGGATCGGTACCTGTGATACTGAGGTTAAATACTGCACTTTAGGAGTCCAAGAGGGGATGAATAGCTGATGTGTAGCTTTAATGCGGAAGACTCATGAAATATGCAGAAAGTCTCTCTCGGTTCTGCTCTTGAGGATAACTTGTTTGGAGTCATGTGGCCCTATTGATTGAAGGCAGGAAAAATGCTGAGACAAATTGTATTGAGGCAAACTCAGAATTACAGCTATAATCCGTAATGTACCCCAAAATAAAATAAAAAACCTCTTGTATTTAAATCTTAAGCACAAAGAGAACATAGAATTTAGTGATAAACTGAGCAAATACTTTTTTGATGTGGATAAATTAGCAGTAGACGCAGTACAGTAAAGAGACAAACTGTGTATGTGATTGTGATACAGTAGTAAACATACTAATAAATACTGCAGATATTATTAATAGTACACTTGGAAAGAGACAAAATAATGGAGGTTCGCTAGTGGCTCATCAGTACCCTGATGACTTGCAGGTACAAAGTATTCTTTAACTTAGTTGTCTATGATTGGTGTTCTGGAATTGTTTGTCAGATGGTAGTAGCATGTGCAGATTGAGTGCTGGGTGGCTGAAATCTTTTATTACTCTATGGGCTTTCTTCAGACAGCGTTAGTGTAAGGACAGACATTTATTGCCCATGATAAACTCTGCTGCAGCACTTCACGATCAAATTCAGAACAGCTGCGATACCAAACAGCCAGATGCTGCTGGTCAGAATGATCTCTCCAATTCATCGCTAGAAGTTTAAAAGGGTCTCTTTTACACCCCTAGTGCGCATGTATATTAGATCTGGACCAGTGTATGCTGTTTGTTTCTGCACATTACTGACTCAGAATGAGTCAAGCAGATTTGCTCTGTCACCGGACGCTATTAGAAATATATAACACAGAGATAAAAAAAAAAGTATGGGGGTCTGTAAAACAAGTTAATCATAATAGCCAATTCACACTGCACCGAGAGACACAAACCGCCAGCGTCAGTCACCAAATTACAGTACGTCACTCACTCAGACATTCCAAGACCAGACAAAAGATAACTGGCATCTGTTGCCAACCTATGACAACAGATGTCAACGGGGGTAACACACTGATCTGACAAAACCCGAATAACATGTTTGTTGCCCTTTGTGTGTGTCTGATGGGGCTGTGTGAATTGGCTTTAGAGGTCTATTGTGCGTGCCCTGGAGAATGACGTTATGAGTGAACAAAACTTTGCTCATTAAAGAATCCTAAAAACAATTTTCAAATTTGATCATAATAATAAATGTTTCTTGAGCACTAAATCAGCATATTAGAATGATTTCTGAAGGATGATGTGACATTGAAGACTGGAGTAATGGCTGCTGTAAATCCAGCTTTGTCATCACTGGAATAAATTACATTTTAAAATAGAAAATATATATATATATATATATTTAAAATTGTAATAACATTTCACAATATTACTATTCAAAAGAACAATTTTGAAATATGAATAGTTTTAAACATTATAAATGTCTTTACATTTTCATTTTTATAAGTTTAATGCATCTTTATTGAATGAAAGTATTTCTTTATATAAAAATAGTTGTTAGTCCATGGTGCAGACAGTTTCTAAGCGTACAGGCTTCTTATTTAGTCCTGCATCAAATGAAAGAGAGAATTGAAGTCTGGGGTCAGGAAATGGGGGAAGGTGTGAATCAAAGCCCCGCTGTGAGTATGTATGGTAGTTTTGTTTAGTGGCAGCATGCAGACAAAGGATTCTCCCAAGGGATTTTCTCTCTTGCTATGCTAATGTGGAATCCTGCATCTGAAGAGGGAATGGTAGAATATATGGGTTATCTGCCAGGGTGAGCTAGATGTTACTTTAATGCTCTAAACACCTATTTGGAATTGCAGGGACAGGATTTCTGTCAGACACTTGGAAGATAACAAACACCCCATAATATAAAGCAGGAAGATATCACTTTAATATGTGAGAATACACAGACAGATTTGTTATGCTACCTACAAGTCATTAATGACAACATGAAATGGTATTTGTGAAACATTTAATTTCCTTAATGTGATGTGAAACTGCATATTCAGCAGGAAATAATGTGAGATTGGACTTTAATTTGATCCATCTGGATTTGATTGGATCATAAAATGTTGTTCAATATTATTGGCTAATGTTATTTTTCTCCATTTTAGTGGCCTTGCACATAATACAAGAAAAGCATTTATCAGACAGCTGGGGAGGGGGTTGTGCAAGTGTATGTGTGTGAAGTAAAACTAATGAGTGTACAGTAGGATGTTCAGTCACACGGTGATTAATAGTGCTCCTCAGCCCTGAAGCTAATGCAGTCATGACACACACACCTCTCTGTGTGATATAGCAATATGTCGCAACATAGCATAGTGATATTCTTAGTACTACAATCATACAACTTACAACTACAACTTAGTACTACTTTACATAGAAAGCTTGCAACTCCTTTTACATAAATATTACACTTATGCAGTATTTGATACTGTATATTTTATGTTGTGCTTCTACTTGCAGAATAAAGAGAGAGTTTCCCGATTTTAGAAGATACTAGATAGATACTTTAGAAGATATGTGATGAACAGGGAGAATTTAATCTTGGGAGATAGAAAAGAGTGTGTCAGAGAAGTTAATAGACTTATAAAGACGATTCTTAACGAAAAAACAATTAATATGCATGATGGAAGATAACATCGTCATTTAAAACGCATCCATTCAGACATACCTTTGCCTGTCCATATACTTGTTTTTTCTTGGAGAAACCCGAGCCCAGTCCCGTTTTTGTGTATTTGTATTCTTTGCAGCTTCTGTGGCACAGATGCGACAGTCCTGCCCCTTGCTGTATTTATCTCCTTTCTTTCTGCAACTCCATAAGTAACGTAGTTAGTTCAGCAGAACAGAACTGAGCCTCACACAAGCATAAACAATGTTTAATATGAGAATAACAATGTATAAGTTTAGAAATACCATAATTCGCTCCTGTTCTGATCAGACCTACAGATAAGTTGACATACCAGACAAGAAAAATGTGCACTTAATTCCAAAAGCACTTCCCAAATTCCCCCAAGTCATGGAATTCTGAGAATTATTAAGGCAAGTCATCAGCGGTGATGTAATCAGCATTTGAGCTGAGCATTTTAATTACGTCAATCATGGGACTCGCCAATACATTTCAATACTTTTGATGGTGCACATATTTTATGACTCTTCCAATAACAAAATGTTTTAAACAAATGATTTCGACAGCCTTTCCATTGCACATTACAAGATGAAGATAACAATGAGCTAATCACAAAAATGTCTTCTATGTGTTATATTCTATTAATAGCACATTTGGGCATTTGTAATTCCGGGCAATTGGAATTGAATTTGACTGGCATGATCCATAAATCAGATAAAACAGAAAAATACATAAAACATAAAACAGATTGCTACACAGTTACACTTAAATATGGTTTCATATTTCAGAACACAATCTGTTTGTAAGCTGCACTCACACATCGTTATATATCTCACTCACACTCACATGCACATCGTTATATATCTCCCAGTGAACATAACTTTATTTTCAGAGTTTGAAAAATGTGTAACTCTGCTTTACTATTTCACTGCAGCACATTGATTGGCTATTAGCATGGTAGCTTGAATAACCGCTCATCGGCTATATTATTGAATTGATTTTCTATATAATGTAAGATAAATGGATTTCAATTAGTCTAGAACTAAATGATTTGATTGGCTTGATGAGAGGTGTTGAAAAGCAGCCCATTCTATGATGAATTTTAGATTCAGATGGAAATAAGCATGACCCTAGAGGGCAGAAAAAGATCTTACTCTTTCACTTTAAATGAGAACTTTTACAAATAGTTGGCAATGGTTTACTCTGAAGACAAAACTGATAATCTCTTTGTTTTGATTCCCACAGGCTCTTGTTTCTGGGTGGCAGTTCTGCAAGGCCAGGTTGTGGGCATCGTGGCAGCGCAAGGCCGAGAAGACGACAACACCATGGAACTCCGTCGCATGTCAGTGGATTCTCACTTCCGTGGAAAAGGCATCGCCAAGGCTCTGGGTCGACGTGTTCTAGAATTTGCCATGTTAAACAACTACTCGGCCGTGGTTCTGGGAACAACTGCAGTCAAGATGGCCGCCCACAAGCTGTACGAGTCTTTGGGTTTCCGGCGAGTGGGAGACACTGAGGACTACACGCTGCCTGGGATGACCCGTTCACCGCTGGAGAGGCTCTTCTTCCAGATTCGCTACAGCCGGTACCGATTGCAGCTTAATGAAGAGTGAGAGACAGAAAGTTAAAATGAGCGCAGAAGATAGAATATAAACGACGATGCCGGCGACGACCCTGAACCACCCACTGACCCGGTCCTCTTCTTCTACCTATTTATTTATATTTTGGGTTTTTCCCTTTTTTTTTTTTAAAGTCATATCTGTTCCTACAACCTTTATTTTTATTCATTTTATTTTATTTCATTTTCTGCTCTTACTATTTCTTTTCATGGTCATCTTGCCCTGAAACGCCATGAACAAATGAATAGCCCAGATGATTTTATCTTAATTGGATATAAATGTAAATGTGTTCTCAGTGATAGATTCTCCCTTAAAGGGTTAGTTCACCCAAAAATGAAAATTCTGCCGGTACCGATTGCAGCTTCATGAAGAGTGAGAGACAGAAAGTTAAAATGAAACCTTTATTTTTATTCATTTTATTTTATTTCATTTTCTGCTCTTACTATTTCTTTTCATGGTCATCTTGCCCTGAAACGCCATGAACAAATGAATAGCCCAGATGATTTTATCTTAATTGGATATAAATGTAAATTTGTTTGCAGTGACAGATTCACCCTTGAAACACATGAATCAAGGCACAGTAGCACAGACCACTATAAACAAAGTTCATGATCCAGTGGACATCGGAACTGGAGGAAAGGAGGTAGTAAGGTTTGATCCACCTTTTCAGATGCCACCTTCCTCATGAGGAAGTACGTTTGAAACTTGCAACAGCAGCAGTCTGGTGGAGTCAAACAGTCCAACTAATTGTAATTTTTAGTCCAAAGGACAGACTTTTTAACTGTGTCTAACCAATGAACAAAAAGATCTAGAAATGGGGAATATTATGAACCCAGTGATTTATATCCCTAAGCACCCCCCGTTTAATAGGTTACGATAAAAACTTTGCAATATAATCTTTATTTGTTTTGTTAAGCAGGTTCCTAGTGCTGAGCCACATTATCAACATTAAGGTCAGAAATTACTAGAAAAACATGAATGTTCATCAAGTTAAAGAGAACGATAAAGAAAAAGATGTTTCTTTACACTTAAAAGTAACAGTCAGTGAAACTCGTTTACAGATATAATTGCTACAGAAAAGTCACTTTTCTGAAATCTAGAAAAAAAAGAATAGCTTGAAATTTGATCCTAAAAGTACACACATTTCATATACTGTGATAATCTGTATCACACAGTTGTCATTGATCCGATTTTAGCACATATCTATTTGTGTACCTATTTGATGAAGCTTTAATAATGACTTGATTACACTTGCACTTTGTGGGTAATTTCACAATTCGGGTTTAGGGAAAAATACTTACTACAAAATTGCTGAATTGTGGTCATGCTTCCCAGTCTAATATTGCTCCTCTGATGCAATATCTAAAATACAAACAAAGCAAAAACAAATTCAATCAGACTCCAAGTGTATTCAAATTCAACTTGGGTGGCATAAAAGCAACAATATAACTGATAAAACCGAAATTAAACTGAGCACAAACCTATATTTGGACAAATATTACAAAAAAGGGACTGTATAAGTAAACAATATATAAGGCTTTATATTCTGCAACTATTCAATATGTATATGTAAAATGTTTAAATACATATATACAACATACCCATAATCTCTCTCTGTCTCTATCCTCCTCACAGTACCAGCACAGGGAGAGATACAAACCACAATGAGCCTCATCTGTGACATAATGTTGTATAAATTTAAGAAACTAAATGTGATTTAAAATACATAGAAGTAACGTAGTGCAAAAAAAAGAAAAAAAAAAAAAGAAGAAAAAACAACAAAAACAAAAACAAACAAACATGAACATCGTCCGTTTTCCTCTACTTTAACCCCACCCTCTTCCGAATATCTGACTGCAACCCTGGGCCAGACCTCTCCCTCCTTCCCCAACCTTTCAACCCCACCCCCATCTCTGCATGCGCCACGGAGTCTTGTTGCGCTGCCTTTTTCCCATTCTAGCTTGTACTATCCCCATACCTCCCTCCCTCTGTGATGTCACAGTAGCAGTGTGGAGAGTTGTGGGCATGGCTTAGAATGTGAGATGTTCGGGGTCAACCAAATAATAGGACTACCCACCAGCTTGCTGCTTCAATGACATCACAGCTGCCAATAGTAGAATGCAAAAGCAATGGAAGTTTGTGGCATGCCTCTGTACCTGGTTTGTGCGTACGGTGCCTGCCCTGGAAAAGAAGTATATTTAAAACTATGTAAAACAAGCTTCTTTTTTTAACTGAACATATAACAAATGTGTTTCATTGTTCAAAGAAATTGTTGTTGCATGAAACGTCTTTGAAAGAAAAATGAGCAAGAAAATGCCATCTTTCACATGGCAAGTCTTAAAAGTGGAGCTGTTTCTTTTGATATTTCTATGTAATTTAAGTTCATTCTAAAATTCTTACTGTCATCTTTTAGGATATTGTGAAATGTCCTTTTTCTCGTAAGAAGGCCTTGAAAATGATTAATCTGAATGCGCCGTTTTGACTACAGTTCAGTTATGTGATGCTTCTCCCTTTACTTGTGAGGACGTCTTTATTTTAGCCATGTGGGTTGAAACACAAAGGCACCAAGAAAGCAATTCACTAGACACAGCTTTGCCAGTTGCGTGTGGCAGTCAAATTAGACATAGCATTCACCTGTCTCCCTTAAAATTGACTTTTGGTTTGAATGCACTTAACATCCTTAAGAAGAAAGGTTGGGCTGATTAAATCCATGATGGGATATTTAAACTATCAACATGAAAGGCAGTGTAAACCTAAAGCAAACAGGCTACAGATCGCTTACCTGAGATCTTGTGAAGCATTTGTGCTAAACTGTGAAAGGCCAAAACAATCCACAAATAATCAAACACATAAATGGAATACAGTATGAAAATACATGAGCATGAAGTTGTATTCAATCCAACATTTAGGAATAAGTATCAGATCAACTGGAAAAATCACACAAATGTCTTAATGGGATTTACCATAGTGCTGGCGGATGTGAATGTACACGGCAATCAGCAATGTATTGCGCATTTTGAAGATCCAGATTCGAACAGTGTTTGATGTACTTGAGGTCTTTTGCTATGAATGTTATTCTTATACTGTAGTGCAACTGCCTTGAAAATCCTTAACTTATTATTCTGAATGCAGTTAGCATGGGATTGGGGATTTCATGTTTAAGGTGCATGTATTGTTGCCAGATTGAAGAGAGCCTTATTGTAATGCTAAAATTGCAAGCAAGTGCAAGAACACCATGATCACTGCTTGTGTTTAACTAAACCGTTGACCAGTCCCTGATCATGCCGCTAGTTTTGCACATGCTAAAACTTTTGCACATGCTAAAGGCTCAATTAAATTGGATTTATGTATACAGTTAGTGTGTCATATGTGGGTTTAGATTGGTTACTTGATTGGCTAGTGAAAGTTGGAGAGGTGCTCAAGAGAGCAGTCGAGTTGTTACGCAAGGATAAGAAGCTGGGGTTTTACCCAAGTCTTAAAAAAAAGAAGAAAAAAAAACAACAACACAGAAATAAAGTGCATTCTTTGTATATACATTTCTAGTGTTAGTTCAAAAGAACAGTTGATAAGGCATTCAGATTGACCTTGGTAACCTGCATGAAAGAGATGGCTGCTAAGAACGTTTCACTTAACAGAGAAGGGAGTCAGAGAAAATCCACAATGGTAGATGGTCTTGCTTCATCACTGTCACCCTTTAGGTGATGCATGGAACAAGCCAAGGTACCAAAGTGTGGAGCTGCTCCCTTCTCCCTTCATTTTCTAGGTTGAAAGCACTCCCCTAATTGTGGCTTCAAGTGGCAAGGAGTTAGTGGCACTTATAGCACAGTTGTATGATTATTTTCTTTTTTGGTTCTTTTGTATTTATTTTTTATAAAATAAGGTTTTGTCTCATATCTATTATCCACTACAATGCATTGACAGTATTTTTTTTAAAGTTAAATTTGCCAAAGTCGAGATGTCTGCTGTATTTAATTTCATTTCTTTTGCCGTTTGTCTTTAAGATGTTGTCACAACTCATTTTTGTAGAATTCATTTGGAAATCAAGCCTATGTGCCAGTTTATCGAGCAATAATACAAAGTATCACAGTTGGAAAAAAAAAAACATAAGAACATGATCCAAGAGATTATAAAAATGTTAAAATGCTGCATTGATGTTCAATCCCTCATACTTTACTGGTGACAGTCGCTCAGATGTTATTAGTATTGGCACAGCAACATCACCACGGGCAAGCCAAGGCCTGACAAAGTGTGAATGTGAATTTTTTGTGTATTCTCATTGTGTTTTATATTTCCTCAATTCTAATTACAACTAACACGTTTACTTGCATCTTGAATTCTTCAGTTTATGGTGGATTTTTATGTTGTACTGATATGACGCCCGCAAAAATAAGTGAAAAACCTTTGTGACTGGGTGATGTCATGGGCCTCTGAAAGTTGCGTCACGCTCTGAACCACGATTGATCAGTCTCAAATATCCACTGTCTCCTGATTCACAAGGAGTGCAGTCTCCAACAATCTGTGACAATGATCAAAACAGAGAAATTAACACCACACAACCAGTTTTACAAGTGGCGCAATACGCACAGGTTCATATCAACAAAGCTTTTATGATTTTTCTTGAAAACAAAAACAATTAACCTTTTTTATCAACATTTTAATATATGTAAAGTTGTAAAGTGTAATTTACTGTAAATAGCATTTGGGGACATTTTATGATTATTTTGTAACAGAAACTATATGAATATAACTAAGATGTTTACAAAAACTAAAAAACAACAACAATACACTTTGGGAAACAACTGTAAACTGAGACACAATTCTAACTATACAATCAGCTTACGTTTGTGCCAGTCCGAGCAAAAGCAACTTTCAGAGAACCTGCATCCTCATAGCACTTATTATGGGCTTTTAGAAGCATTGTAAATTGCTGGTTGGTTACTAATTATTGTAAATGACTGCTAATTTATGGGTAAATCCCTGGAAATACTTTGGAAATGTATGGCACTTAAAGATAATTTCACAAGTTGGCAGTAACACTTTTTCTTTGGTTTAGAAATGCTCATGTTTACAATTTCTGGTGTAAGTTGGCATTAGTTACCCCATTTATGTCAGCGTGGTCACATTTCAGTCATTGGCTGCCTGTTACTATAGAAACAAGCCCACACAAAGCACAGCAGGGAAATGATATGCAGCCATACATGGGGGCGGGGTCAGGAGCCACAAATGGGTCTGGGTCTAGTATGATAATGAGGGCTGGGTAGAATGGAGTTTAGGGAAAGAAAAAAGGAGGTTTGAGGTTTTCATTATGGTAAATCTGACCTTGCTTTACCTGTTTGGTTGCAGTGATCACCTGGTTCTTTGAGTCTGAAATCATTGTACTGCCTGAGTTTCCATTAGAGTTTTTCTTTTTATTAAACTGCTGTTTAAGTTCCCCCCTTTTCTTTCATTTCCTCAATACACAGGAACTTTGTAAAGATGTAAAGAAAAGTTTTCCTGACTTATGAAAGAAAAGGATGTACATACTGTATCAATTAAAGGAACGATTCATAAAGCTTGTACATGTGTGTCTGAACAAGTTTTAAAAGCGACAAATGCACATACCTCAAGGTCTTTCAAAAGTTATAAACTAGTTAAATTAGGGCAAAACTATTTAACTCTTACTATGGCAATATAGTTGGAAATGCTATCGACAGCAGTGGCCTTTGAAAAGACCTTTGATTTGGGCTTGTCAAAACTTTGGGCCTGTTTACACCTGGTCACTTCGTGCGTTTTCTCTGATCCGATAGCTATCTGATCATGAAAAGACCAGGTGTAAATGCCCTCCGAAATGCTTTCGAGCCGGATTTAAATCTGATCGCTCAAACCACTTCAGGAGCTGGTCTGGGACGAATTCCAGACGAAACTGGACAAGTGTAAATGCATCTGGTTCTTGAAACCAGATAACAACCCTCTACATTGCGAGTAAATCACTCGCATATGCGACTAAATCTTACTCTGGGCGACTAAATGATGTCTAATATTAGCCAATGGCTAATAAATTCTCAGATTTTACTCGCCAGTGTGTGACCTAATTTAACGTGTTTCGGGAGGAGAGGATGAATTTGCTCATTGTAAATCCCACAGCTCGGATGCAGCGGGAACTAACATGGCGGCGCCCATCACCCGGTATAGATCAACTAACACGGTCGATATAAAAGTGTTTAAACTAACGTTACCAAATAGATTTACTTGCACATATTTCAGAATCGGAATATCAGATATTTCATAATATAGTGAGCATGTTTGTGAATATTTTGAATAAAACCGGAAAAACTAAATAAAAGCGATGCATGTGTCATACAGAGCTATTGTGGCTGCGTTGTGTCACATGACAAGCATGACGCGCCGCCATGGAAACAGGCAATACATTCTAAAATAACGGTCGCCTAAAAAAAAACAAAACTCATGCTCGGGGCTCAGCTAGAATATGTTAAACTCGCGTGCGAAATGGTTAAATAATATTGATTATCATATTATAATGCTTGACTGACTGATGTTAAGAGTGTACTTTCAGATATTTATATAACTGTGCCATT